GGCTGGCTGGCTGGCTGGCTGCTCACTGAACTGCACTCATTTCACTGCTGCTGCACCGCTGATGATGTCAATGCTGCGGGCGGCATATGCAACAAATGAGTGTTTAAAACAGCCGCAAAACATATATTCCTTGACTTCGTAATCAGCAGACAGGCTTAGGAAAGCTTAAAGTGAAAATCACCGCAATCGCTGAAAGACATCATCAGCGACGAAACGTCAATGAGTTGGTGACTTCGGTGAGGTGAGACTGGAGTGTAGAGGGTTAAAATAGTTTTACGGACAATTGGTGCAGCGGCAAAACAGACAGGTGGTATGCTTACACCTAGCTACCGCTGCAATGATGTGGTTTTGGTTGAATTTTCAGCTTTTTTGCATTCCTTTGTTAGCTGCTATATCCGCTTTCGGCTACTTAGCTGCACCGCGCACGCGCCTCTGCACCACTGTTCAACACTCAAATGGATGTCACTCCTCGAGCGTTTTTGTGTGGCACAAGCAAATTGATTGCTATAATTTGCAGGTTTTAGTTAAAGAGCGAAAGAAAGCAGCTCAAAATTTCAGTGGAATGCAATGGAACTAAAAACTGAAACTACTTAAATGCTGATACGTTTATTAGACTGGCTATTATATTTTCGGCACGCAGGGTTCTATAGTAGGACATCTACTCGAAACTCGAAAGAGGAAGTCTGAGGAGGAAATGTGGTGATAACTGAAATATCAGCTATAATTTCTACCATTGTAAATTAATGTTGTTTTCCGTAATGATTTTTCACTAAAACGCCTTTATAGTCAAAGACATTTGTTGATTAAAAAGACAGTTTACTCGATATTTTTTCAAAAAAAAAAAAAAATTACTTTTTGCTTCCATTTCAGGCATTAGTAAAAAGAAAAGTTGATAATTCTATGTACTCTAGACACGAAATTTTCTCAAAAATACCAAAAGCTCCCGAAAATCCCAAAAGCATTGGGAAAACTCTAGACAAATACGGAATATTTCTGAAAAAATCCCGAAAGCTCCAAAAAAATCATGAAGTACCTGTAACGACAGCTTTTCCTTGGGGTGACTGTGGTTGTATGAGTGAGT